TGCCGAAACTTATGGGACGGAAGCAAAAGGTGGTTCTTAAAGAGACAGAGGCCAATTTCAAGGCATTTAGAAGAGGAAGTGATGAGAAGACAAGTTTATTTTCTATTTAAAGATAAAAACAGCCTTTTAATAACAACTAAAGGTGACATAGATACTTTATTATGGTATAGTTTTTAAATATATGCCTGAGAAACACATAATATTGGCCCTTTAAAAACTGGGACTAAGATCATCTGAAATGAGATATTGCAAACTCTAACGGGAGAATTTGTATTAGTGATCACTGTAACTTTAAACTAAGGCAAGGAATATTTATCGTTTCCTAACACAATTTTCATAAAAAACAGATGAGTTTGTGTAAAATAAACTCCCAAACAATCATTTATTGATGCGTGTTAACAGACTCAAAATATGCCATCTTTTGTAAGGCTTTTTAAAATTTGTTTGAAATCTGCACTACATCCATGTTGCCATGTTTCCAGATTCAGAGGAACAGACGCATCTAAAGATTCTGGTGATGTTTATCTCTGATTTTTCCCTCTGGTGCCACCACATAGACAATATTATAAGAGAGACAATGTACTAACTCTAGCTGACAGAACTGAGTTCAAAATCCAAAGATACTAAATACCAATCAAGACTTTTCTTAACTCAAACCATCCCTCAACACTTTGGAGGATTTGTTTTAATGATTTGATTCACTGCTCTACATGTGCATGTGTGTTGGCTGCTTACAGACACTCCAGATCCCAGTTTTGGACAGGAAGGGTCTGATACTGGATTGCCCTCTCCAGTGTATTCAACCAGGAAGTATGGTCTTGCTGTGCCGTTCCTCAGTGAAGGAGCCTGAGCAGAAAGGTTAGATTAGGTTCATTCAGCAAACAGCAGCTTGTAGTAAAACATCTAGATCCATTACACTAGCAGCCAACCATCTGAAACAAGAAAGACTGTCCATCCATGTTGACCGTTGTCAGGTTGACTCCAGATATGTCCAATATGGTGGGACCGAGGTCAATGTTCAGAACCGGAGCCTGTGAGGGTCAAACCCAGACACTACAGCAACAGAACCAACTTTTAAAGACCTGCAAGCAGAAACATGTCCTGGATTGTTCTGACCTTCAGAGTTTGGTTCGGTTTGATGCCTGGACCACGGACCAGCAGTGGGACCCTGATGTCGAACTCGTACAGCTGCCTCTTATCAACAGGGAGCGAGAACTGACCTGGAGCAGAGGAACCAGAAGATCACAGCTGGAAATATATAAAAACATAATGTTTTGAGACAAATTATCAAAGAGATATTAGTCTTAGTATGTGTAGTGTTTCTGTTTGATACTGGTTTGAGACCCATTTCCTGTTTGATCTACTGACATAAAAACTGCATAAAAGGTGTCAAGTTTATGGAAGTAAGGAGTTTATTTTCTGAAGCGTTCTGGAAGCAGCTCAGAAGTGTTTGTGACACCATCACACTCTGGAAACAGTTATTTAATAAAAACTGTTCCCCGAGGTACACTGTGGGGGTTACTCTGGGAGTATGGGACTTTGAGTCTGTTGTTATGGGCCATTCAGTCCCTGTACAAGCGGTACAAGAGTTTGGTTTGCATTTCCATCAGTAAGTCAGACCCTTTCAGGGTGGGAAGTGGACTCCACTAGGGCTGCCTGTTGTCACTGATTCCCCCTCAGGATTCCATCACTGCTCTTTGCGGATGATGTGGTCCTGTTGACGTCATCGTGCCATGATCTTCAGCTGTCACTGGAGCGGTTCACAGTCCAGTCTAAGGTAGCTGGGATGAGGGTCAGCACCTCCAATTCTGAGTCCATGGTCCTCAGTTGGAAAAGGGTGGATTGTTCTCTCAGGGTTGGGAGTGAGGTTCTGTCTCAAGTGCAGGACTTTATGTATCTTGGGGTCTTGTTCACAGTGGGGGAAGAATGGAGCGTGAGATTGATAGATGCGGACTCTGTACCGGTTTGTTGTGGTGAGGATGGTAATTAGAAGCTCTCTGTCTACAGGTCAGTCTACGTTCCCATCCTCACTTATGGCAAAGAACTTTGGGTAGAGAGATCATGGATACAGGTGGTCAAAATGAGTTTTGTCTGTAAGGTAGGTGGGCTCACCCTTAGAGACAGGGTGAGAAGTTCAGTTCTGAGAGACTCAAGAGTAGAGCCGCTGCTCCTCCGCATCCGGAGGAACCAGTTGAGTTGGTTCATCTGGCAAGGATGCCTCCTGGACGCCTCCCTAGGGAGGTACTTCAGGCATGTTTGACTGGAGGAGACCCTGAGGAAGACCCAGGACACGCTGGAGAGACTATGTCTCTCTGCTGGTCTGAGAACACCTTGGAGTCCTCCCAGAAGAGCTAGAAGAGCTAGCTGTGGAAAGAGAGGTCTGGGCCTCCCTTCAAGCTGCTGCCCCCACAACCCAACTCAGAATAAGTGAAAGATAACAGATCTACCTTTTCATGAGCCATTTGAACCTTAAATAATGTTTCTAGTGAAAAAGACCATGGACTAGAGCTCTAAAGCAGAAAACCCATTGCTGTCTACGCCGAAATACTTTGCAGTTTTCTGTAAATGTTTCGGCTGTTTTATGAACCGCTACCTAAAAGTCTGCACTGGCATTTTTCAACTATGCACTGGCTTAATATGAAAATCTACAAATGTCAGTGAGTTCTGAATACCGGAGGTCGGGTGACTCATGAACTTGTAGGTGTACACCCTGTGTGAGGGGAAGGACCCTACAGGACCCTGATGTTGGGACCAGAGGAGTTCTCCTGAGCACACCTGTGTGATAGCCGTTGTCTGAGGTGTAGAAGATGTAGGTATTGTCAAGCTCTTTAATGCTCTCGAGTTTCTTCACAAGCGTGTCCACCATGTCGTCCACAGATAACAGAGACTGCCACCTGCAGGACACATCTGCATCAGTTCTGAAGATCATAGTATGGGCTGCCATTTGTAAAGTTACACAGTCAAAAATTACCCCCAATATTTTTGTTTTATTTAGCCTTTTATAAGAAAAAAAAGAACAGATTTATTTTTCAAAGTCAGTTTTCCACCATTTGATTCATACATTTATAAGTGCCATAATTTATAAACTAAATATTTAACTTACAAGTTAAATATTTAGTTTTGAGCTAAATATTTAGCTTGCAACTTAAATATTTAGCTAGCTACCTAAATATTTAACTTGCTAGCTAAATATTTAAGTTTCTAGCTAATTATTTAAGTTGCAACTTAAATATTTAGGTATCTAGCTAAATATTTAAGTTAAATAACTACCTCTAAACAGGATTTATTCACTGCAACACACCAAGTTTCAGGTCACCTGCTACGTTCACACTGCAGGCAAATGCCAACCAAACCCAATTTTTTTGCCCCATCAGACCCCCATCAGATTGTTTTTTATGACAGTCTGAATGTGGCAAATTTCTAATCCGACCCTTGATTTTTTTCAGCATCTGATAAATATCTGATGTTCTTCAAAGCGGCTGCAGTCTGAACGATCATGTCGCATTTCATCCGACTTCTTCATCAGTGAGGTGGGGGTGAAGGATCGGTCCAGTAGAACTGATCCCAATCTTGAGTCACGCTGTTTAAATCTGTAGCTCCACACGTCTTCAGCTACAGAACAGAAGTCCAGTTGCTTTGTCTTTTTTTACTTTTAACTTTTCATGTCCTGGATGACTGATATTCCACAGAAATGTATGATATTAAATTCCAACATGGGTCACAGACCATACCGACGCTAAAGCTACTCAATCAATACTTTCCTTTTAGCGCGTCGGTTTGTTCTAAAAATAAAATGCTGCACCGAAGCATCCAGTTAGAGACAGGTTAAAAAATAAACAACGAACTAAACAAGCACGTCGGATAATTATTTAATTGCACAATAACATTAAGCATTAAATGTTTGTTATGAGAAGGGCAGGAAATCAAAAGATCTTGTATCTTTTACCTGCTCGTTTTCAAACAAATAATGTAAAAAGGACCTGCCTAGAATGGGTTATTAGTTCAAGAAAGATTTGATGGTTACTTTTAATTTTACTTTTTTATTTTGTTTTGTT